CGCATATTTTTTTTCTTGACGTCAAGGCAAATTTGGCGAGATGTGCCGTACAATATCAATTTAATCGATATTTATTAATTATGCGATCTAATTGCATTATTTATGATAAATTTGTGATAAATAAGATAATTTAATATGACAATTAATAATATGGCAATTTGTTTAAATCTAATATTATGATAATTCGCTGCAAAATTAATAACAGAGAAACAACATAAATTATAACAGAGAACAATTTCGCACATTATGAATTTAAATTTATCGTTTATTTAAATTTCATCATTTCGTAATCTTAAAAAAAGGGGCAGAAAAATTTCATTCCATATGTGTATATGTATATACAAATGTATATACACACATTGATTATAATAATTGACAATTGATTGCTATGCAAATTCCTGAAGAAAAAGAAGATTTGCAAAGGAGGCCGGAATCGGTTTGCACATATCGAAGAATAAAACGATTCAAACATCGCATGTATTACGTATCGTTACATAATTATGATATAATAACAGGGTGAGAAGAGCAACAGCAGAGTCATATAATAAGGCGCACACATCACACACACGTGCCCCTGAATGTATTTTTCCATGCAACGATTGCGGATCCTCGGGAGCAATTTGCCTAAGATGAGCTTTAATTACAAGAATAATTGCAATTATTTTAGTAAATTGTTTACGACTATCACATTTAATGATTATGTATGCACCACGCTGAAATTCATATATATGTAATAAGTTTATTATACTCCATTTTTAATTCACAAGAATACGCACACACAGGAGGTAACATAATAATCAATGATTCAGCTTACCATAATGCGATTAGCATTAGCACTTACAATCGAAGCTAATGAGTTGTATTATCCGAAAAAAATAAAGTATGATAATTGATTGAATGTACATATCATTAGACATAGATATGCACTTTTTGTTTTACAAATTTCGTAATAGTCACCAACAATAAATTTTCCAACTCCCAATTGCACGATTTCCAGGCAATTTCTTCGTAGGCGAAGAAATTATATAATTGAGCACTTATCAAATATTATATTTAATCGACTAATTTTACCATTACATGTATTTTGCATCCGTCAAGATGTTCAAGCTTTGTTAGATCGATGATCTTGCTTTCTCGCGTTAAATTAAACGCCAACTAATTTTTAAAAAACAACACTGTTGCAGAGTCATCCCGCAGACGCGATTTGTTGTACGAGATTTGCAATAAAGTGCCGTCGAACTGCAAACTTTCGCCGAGAGTCAGTCAAGCATTCAGCGAAGTCATTAAATTTAGAAGTCGATTTGTGGGATGAAAGACAAGGCGGAAACGTCGCGATAAAGTTAATGAAAGGGAATACGCGGTTACATCACGGACTCTCTCTATATATATAATTACAATAAGAATAATTTTTTTTTAATTGTGATTTTAATATAATTCGTATACAGGGTGTATCTTAAAAAGCATTCACTAATCATATAGCGCTATTCCTGATCAAAAACTGAGCCGAAAAGTCCTAAGCCATTTTGCAATTTTGTATTACTATCCTGTATTATTGTCTTTCGATAATAAAAAACGAAAAAACGACAGTTTTTCATGCAATATTCCCACTCCATTGCTTAAATTGCTCCTTATAAGTTTAATATGCGACGTAAAAGGTCGTAAAATTAAAAAAAAATTTCAACGGAGAATACCTGCCTTATCCTTCTTTTTAATTATTCTTTAATAAGTTTTTACATTTTAACTTTTATACATATACAGGATGTTTCAAAATCAGAGAGAACTCCAAATATATGTAAGAAAATTTTTTAAAAATTAAATAAAAAAAGTTCTTTGTAAATTTTTATTTTAAGCAATAGTTTCTGAGATACGATATAAGAGTTTAAATATGGCGAATTACAGACTACGTTTAGATAATCATTTGCTGAAGAAATACCAAGTCGAGAAAAAGTTAAAATGACTTTTTTAAAATGACTATTTTGATGTCATGAAAGTCATCTAACTAGTGATTTTGATTACAAAATTTGACTGTTTATTGACATTAAGAATCAAAATAATGTCATTTTGATTTTTGTTGACTTTCATGTGTTCCTTGGATATGACGATTCTTGAACGCGTTTATCAGCGTTCACTAATGCGAACATGTGTTTATGGCTATCTAAACAGTCTATCTAAACAATAGGTTATATTTACACCTTTACTATCTTAAAAATTAGTGTTTAAATAAATATTTATCTATAACCATCTCTTGCAATAACATATTTTAAGTCACGAATTTTGAGATACTCCATATAGGTATAATACGTATAGGTAAAAAAAAAAAAAAAAATGATATGGAAGGTGACATTACATGAAAAATCGCAAGTGTAGTAATAGATTTTAAAATTAAAAACGAGTACATTAAATACGTTGTAATAATTATGACGCATTACATTAGTTATTTTATTTTTGCACATTCAGGGTTGGTAAAAAAATCATGTTGTAAACATGTTTAATATATTTAATCGTTGTTTTTAACATGTTTTAAATATGTTTTTTAAGCTGTTTGAAACATTGTGTACGAAGCATTGAAAACATGCTTATAAAAACACAATGCTTTGTTCTTTCAAAAAAAAACATTATCTTTTGTCATTATCAATCCTGTCATATATTTAATTGAAAGTATCCGTCAAACTGGAGAGTAGAAAAACGTGTGAATAACGTCGCAATATCGTGCTGATATATCGGAACTGAATGATAAATAGTTTCAAAGTAGTTTCGCGTGATTGTCGGATGTTATTATGACATAAATTATGAAGATTTAACGTACATACGTACATATATTCAAATATGAATAAATCGCGTACCAAAAGTGACAAATGCAAGTAAATTTGCATCAAGCCGATTGTCTGTTTGTGTACTCGCTGACTCGGAATTGAGCTGTGTTTGTACACGAGTGCATACATAAGTATACATTATGCAAGATACGTGAAGTGGCCTTGACAATGACCATTGCACGGTTACATTGGTGATCACGTGTCGTTAACGCACCGACAAGACAATCACGTTATCACTGAGGATCGTAAGAGATAGACGCACGGAAATATGACGTTTTTCGTAAAAGCAACAAATTTCCTGTCCGTCTTATCGTTTCTTGTTGACATTTCGTCGAGTTTGTGATAAATCGTAAGATAATCGAAAATGAACAAATATAGCCCATATTTAGCAACACACGGAAGCATTTTTAATTATTGCGGAATCGACTTACGCTAATGATGCTATTTTTTTTTTATTATCAAATGCGAATGTAATGTTCGCAAATTACATATTCCCGGAAAAAAATGTTATATATATATTTTTATAAAAAATTATATATAATTGTATAAAATTATATAAAATTGACATATACAATTATATGTACTAATTATTTATAAAAATATATGTAACATTTTTTCCCGAGTTTATTTGAAATTAATTGGTAGTTTGATTCCTGAAAATATTACGCCACTGTTTTTAATAAATTTTCACCGAATTTTTTCAGCTTTTTATAAGTATAATTGAAGTTTCAAGATTCAAGTAAACAATATTTTATTTGAAATTATTTGTGAAAGATATGATTTTATTATTTATTTCTCGAAGGTATCGGAAGTTCGATATTTTCATGAAGAAAATATCTAATCCGCATCTAAGAATCATGTGTATCATCTTTAACATTATCGCAAAAAGATATATAATAATAAGATTCCAGTGAGAACATTGAAACAGAATATTTGCAATACGGTTTGCATCCCATTACTGGAGGGCCGCGTTACAAATAATCGTAATGACGCAACGTATTGTGCGCGACACGTGCGACCGTCGAGTGGAAATTGAAAGGGTTTTGCGAGGACGATGTAAAAATGTTTTACGGAAACAAGAGGAAGCGGAAATGTCCGCTATATTCGCGAGACAGCTCACATGACAGCGATTTATTCATTCTCTTAATATAGGGAGAGAAAGAGAAACAAAATCTGTGCTAAAAAAAAAGTCAGTAACCAAGGTTTTTAATTAATTGACGCAAAAATAAACAAATTGCTTAATTACTAAGTTGTTCGCGCAATCGCGATATTAAATTTACTGTCTATCGAGCTTGCCATAAAAGTTTTTCATTATAAGTAAAATATACGATATGAAATAAATGTATTGAAATCATAATAGTTTCAATTAATCAAATCGATTTCGCAGCAAGAACTGCTACGCAAAAAACAAATTAATCGATTATACGTGAGATGATCGATTTGTTTTAGCGTTGTAGTTCCTGCTGCAAAATCCGATCCGGATTCAAAAAGAAATTATTGATGATTGCGGTTAATCGCAAATTGCTACTTGAGAAATTATTATGTCATTATAGGAAATGATTTGCACCTCTGCTGATATTGTGCAGATGCTCTTCATGAGTAAAGAGAAACGTTACAATGATTATTTAATATTTTAATAATAGTGGGAACACGCAAGTGATAAATCATTTTTCAAACTATATCGCTACAACGATATAATTAAAAAAATTTGCTCATTTGCTATAACGTATAATTAAAAAAAACGTTATTTTTAGTTGTTTGCAGAAAAAGAACGAAAAAAATAAAAAAGGAACATATTTTAAAAGTATTTTTATCACTTAACAATTAAGTTATATCAAAATTGCATTTCAAAATTAATATTACACTATTGTAATGATTCTTTTAATGATTTAAAACACATTGAAATTTATTTTCTGGGAAACCTTGTTTTTTGAATTGTGTCGTTATGTAAAATTAATGATATTCTCACAAGATCTTTAATGTATAATGATTTTTTTGCAGAAAGTGAAAAGCGCACGTTATCCTTAAGTTATTCTTTAAAAAAAAAATAGAATTATATGAAATTATTCTGTATTATATGTATATATGTATATGTGTGTATATATATATATATATATATATATATATATATATATATATATTGCAAGGAAAACTTATTTCTTGGTGCATCATACTTTCACCCAGGAAGAATTTTAATCAAGACTTTATTAACTTTACACTTTAGTAACTGTACAATGCGACATACTTATCGACAGAGTTAACACTGCAAAGGATTTACTCTTCAGCATGAATTTAACAAGAGCATGTAATCTACGTATCTACACCTGATCAAATAATTTCCCCCAATTTTCACAGATCTCTCTTAAATCAAAATTAATTAACAAGCCAAATGATATCAATTTTAATTTTCACTATAATATTTGTCCAAATATTGTTTATAGTGATGAAAATACTTGGCGCCGTAGAACTCCTGGAAGTATGAATCTCTGTAATCGCGACGAGTGCTCATTGCGACATTCACCTGCTGTTCAAGAAGCCTAACTTTTCTGAGTTGGTTCTCGTGGTATATGTGATGCAGAAATTTCTCATATTCCTGTTGCGGCGACGGGAAGAAATAACGTTGAAGGAATCTTTTAATTGGATGCTGAAACAAATAAGAAATAAAGATCGTATTATATTTTTAATTAGTTTTTATAAACACAAAACATTTCGATAAAAATATTTTCTTCGGCCAATATACGCCAACATTAGCAAACACATATTTAATACATATGCATATGAATGTAGATCAATATTTAGCGAATGCAAGGCAAATGTGCAAAGTTGGCGTATATTGGCAAATCGTTTGAAAAATCATCTTTACTTGAAGATATTCCCATTCCTTTGGAACATAACCTTCAGGAATTTCCTCGAGTGTGGCAGGACCGACGAATACGTTAACTAAGGTGATCACGATCCCCATAGGAATAGCACCGAGTAAAAAGTAAAAGTGGAAATAATCTTTCGTTTTGTGCCACTGAAAGTTGCTCGGTCGTATGACAAACGTGCGCTCTTCTGACATGCATCTTGCTTGTCCTAGAAATACAAAAAAGATTTCTGAGATATGACAAGTGGATTAATAGCTTCCAATACATAAATATTATGTATTTATTTACTATAAAAATATTTAAAAACATGTTTTAAAAACATTGACTACTGATTAGGTCTTTGACAAGGATTCTTCTTTTTTAATCACAAGATATTTAGATAGATCAAAAATTTCATGTCGATAAAATTCTAAATAATATATAATAATATAGCTAATATAATTACACATTCATTTTTGACTGAATTTATAATATAATGAAGTATGTAAAATGTCAACACAAAGATCAGAAATAGATCAGAATCACTTATAAACATAGATCTGGCTCCATTAATGTAAGATAAAGTTGAATCTCGGTTTAACTTATTATTTATATTCTTCTAATCTATTTTTACCAATGTAATTTAAATCTCAGTTTAACTAACTCTTTTTCTTTTTGTATTATACCATCATCTGTAGTTCTTGCTAGAAAGCACACACACACACACAATAAGTAATAACTAAACTAAGACTAATCTTATATTGCTGTGGAACAGGTCGTAATAAACAAATTTGCTATGAATTTTTTTTTAGTATCATATGAATATGTGTAAGATGTTGATACTGTCAGATGTTCTTGAAATGAGGAAAAAAATGATTATCGAAATTAGTGATGAACAATTAAGAATTTTCAATGTTTCGTAACTCATTTTTATTTTTATTCGGACACGTCTCGGTTTTTTCTGTTACACGAAATACAGAAGAATCGTACTCCATCCAAATGCATTGTGTGGTCATTGCGTAACAAAATACAGTCTGCTTTCGCAGAAGCACATTGGTGAAATAAAAGACACTCGTTCAATGACGCGAACAATCGCGAGCAACCGTGCATGAATAATCACCGTTCTTTATCAACGCTGTTCCGGAACCGCTGTTTTGCAGCAATTTTTGCCTTGCGGCACGCAAAATACTACTCCACACCGCCATTTTTCTCCGATAACACGGAATAGAACAAAGTGTGAACTCTGGTATGAACTCTGTAGGTAGATCGAAAATGTAGGCTCTTATTTACCAACTTGAACATAAAAGATCGCTATTTTATCATTGTAAACCGGTAAGATAGAGCTATAAGTACAATTTTTAAAACTATATTATGTAAAAACGAAAGAAAAAAAATTATCAAAGTGATAGAAAAATATATTTTTTTACATTTTTAAAAAATACGAAATTGTAATAATTTCTCTTCAATTAAATTTAGAGCTGTGTTATAATAAAATTAAAATGTTATAAATAATTTCACATAAGAAAATTTACATCATGACAAAATTAATATATATGTTAAAAGTGTTAAAAATGTTGGTAAAATATATCACTAAATTAATTGTCATTTTTTGCAATATTATTTTGGTTAAAATATTACACGTGAAAAAATGTATGTTTAATTAAATAATGCAAATTTAATTAAAAAAATTTTTTTAGAAATTTTAGAAGAATTTTTTTCAGCTTTAAACAATAAAACGTACTCACATGATTCTCGTCGATTGAGTTGGAAATCGTTTAGTTAGAATCCTCAACACGTACGTTTATAGCAACATGTTCCATAACAATAAATGGTGATACGTATACCACCAATTAAATCGGGTCAAGTGAGCAATTGAACTTGAGAAATGATTGTAAATTACCGAACACTTGGTAATTCATGTGACAGAATTCGAGAAAATTCTGGACCGTATCGTCGATCTTAATTTATTTAAACTTTTAGATTTTTGTTTTTATGCCAAGGGAAAAAAAGATTTAAAAAAGGCGTGAAACACAACAGCTTGGTGCGTAATAATTATATGTCACATGACATACGCGATAAAAATGCCTTTTAAAGTTTTGCGGAAGAAAAGAAAAAAAATTCGTCACGCTAGTCATTAATGTGAGTAACAAGCTGTTGATGTTATTTCACTCGCATGTTATAATGCAAAAGCCTTGATGTCAGCGATTATAATCAAAGCTGAAAAATTAACTTATTTTAAAATAAATTTTCGAAACGATGCGACGCAAGTCAAGTTGCGAGGCCGTATTGCGATGGTATCGTTTGCATCTAGCTTTTTATTGCAAATAAGAATAACGAAGTCGCGAGCAATTAGAAATTTTATACTTTTTTACGTAACATATCGTATCACAGGCGATCAAAGCTTAATCCTCCGCATTTAGTACATTGTATACAATAGATCCCGATATCACGGTATTCATTCTTTTCGAGAACAGCTGATTCACGGTCGAAAGAATTTCAAACGCGCCGATACATTGTCGTGTCGTGCAAATATTTCCTATTCTCTCATCGATAACGTCAAAGATTAACGATAACGCAGGGTTACAAGCGATATCGCGGTGTTACATTAAAAATGAGTCATCGATTGCGAATCGATAAAAGATATCGGAGTAACTTTCAATTCTGGATCTTCTTTTATCAGACTCGGACGTCTTTTACGTTATGAGAAAATAAATTCATTACCTTGCATCTTTACGAACAGATACAAATTTATTGATCTTCACTAATTTTATATTTTTACTAATTTTTACTGGTCTTTATTAATTTTGTATTTTTCTATTTTTTATTTTTTTTTATTTTCGAAATAAATATTTTTTATTTTAAATAATAATTTGTATGAAATATTTTTTTATCTCATTGTATCAATATATGTGTCATTAATTAATTTTCGTTTCGAAAAATAAGTTATTTAATTAAATTGGAAGATATCTTTTGAGGCCATGGGCTCAGCTACTTTTTTTAAAGAAGCCATATGGCCATACATATTATCTCCGTGTCTTTATATATTTATTAAATATCTCTCAAAGTTCATTTAACGGTGTATCAAAACAAGGAGATAATTCGCAAACTGCGTAGCTTCTTCGAAATTGGAGTACTTGCATTTTAAAAAATTACAAAATGTTATGGCTTATTTGGAGTTAATTAAATTAACTTTACATTAATATATTCAACAAATGTTTCGATAGGTGTTAAACACTGAAAAAGGCTTTGTAAGCCGAATGTTTTTAAAATTGAATGTTTTTAAATATTTTTATATTAAATAAATACATAATATTTATTAATATATAATATTATATATAATTTATAAATATATATTATAAATAAATAAATAATTTATATTAAAGATTATTTTTTAAACGTTGTATATTGATTGAGGAATGTCTTTCGACATTTTCTCATCGAAGATGAAAATGTACAATTATAATTTTAATCAAAGATTTTCTGAGTAGGTAAAATCCCTCATAAAAATTTCTCACTAAAAAACTTCTGAGATATCGTTGAAAGCTTCGAAACATTATGAAAAGAATTTTAAAAAATTAAAATCTAAGATTAGAATAGAAATGTTCGTATATTTTTTTAAAAAATTACAAAATGTCTGATTAGGTCTTTGACAAGAATTCTTTTTTAATCGTATGTAATCTAAGCATCGTATTGATCGCGGACAACGATCTTTTTTCTATTTTTTTTCTCATAAGCTTTTTTCAGGAGCTAACAAAAAAAAACTAGAAAATGTCCATTATACTTATCACGCGGAAGAAAAAAGAACCGAAGCGTGAATAAAAATATAAGCCTCATGATCATCTCTCACAGCGATTCTAATTAACTTTCGGTACATAAATTTCAGAAAGTATTTAAAAAAAAATTTGTCTCTACAAATTTTTTGTGCTTTTTTATTTAATAATGTCCAAATTATTTAATATATATTTATATACATAATTGTGAAAAATGAACGTGAAAAATTCCATGTTATTACAATGTTTTTTCACGATCAGGTAACGCATCCTGTATCTGAGGAATTCATTTACCGATATTTTGTTACAGTCAAGTAGTCGTTAGCAACATATATACCTGATATTTTGTTTGGAATGTGTGGACAAAGCAAAGAATATCATAAGACTAGACAAATGATCGGTCAGATGTGACGACCGACGGTGAAGTCCCATCAACCCTTAGACAACCACCACCACACAAACAGCGTAGATAACGGTAATACAATAGGCCGAATACGAGTTGAAAGGGAAGGAGCATGTAGAGAAAACGAGGCAACGAGGTTTTCAAGGCTCAGTCGTCTAGCAGCCGTTGAGCAGGAAAGCCCGGCCACACGCCGATCGATCCGAACCGCGTTGTCGGCATTGTGCCGCGTTGCGTCTCTGTCACTCCTACCAATAGTTTCGTCAAACAAATACGAGAGGAGTTTCTGGCTCTAGCGATTCTGACTGTTTTCCCAGCCCAGTTTTGTCCATTCCCTGTCCTCGTGAACGTTCGCGACGCTCGACGAAGGATCGATTCCTGAAGCGGCTTGGAGAGGTGAGTGTCCGACTGGGCAGATCCAAATTCACGTAATTAGAAGTTAGAACAACTTAAATCTCGTGAGTCTTCGGAATTTTAGAAATATTATATACTTATGGATTTCTTTAATTTTATTCGTTTAAAAATTTTTCTTTTATATATTTTCCATTAATTTATACATATATTTTACGAGGTAGTTATTATTATTTGGAAGGGAAAGATTAGAGATGATTATATTATATTAATATTATATTAATTGCACGAATAATAATAACTTTTATAATAGTAAATGAATAGGCACTGAGAAATTTTAAATGACGACATATTGACTGTTATCGTCAAGATAGCTTATTCTGTCTATATTTTCACGTTATCTGTATTTAAACGGAAATTGTATACTCGAAGGAGAAAAAAAAGTAAAAAAAGTAACATCGAAGTGTTCAAAATGGACAGACCTACTGACAGCACGTATCTGTTGGTTTATTTACTGTCAGTCCTTTGTGATGTAATATCAGAGCGTTGATCCGTAATGGATCGATCGATTCTTGTGGGTTCTTGTAAACATTGAAATTATACAGAAAATCAAATGATCGATTCTAATATTCGATTCGTGAAGACATTTTGCTCATACGTAGTTTTATTGTGCTCTGTACAAAGAACGAAACTCACAAGCAGACTACGGATATTTATACAAAATACTTAACTGAATATTTTGCATAAAATGCATATTTTGAATAAAATGTATATTTTGCATAAAATGCATATTTTGCATAAATTGCATATTTACAGATAGCAATCTCAACTTTTTTACTTTACTTTTTAATAACTCTTTAACGAACAACAATCGATTGCTAGAACTCCGATAGTTAATGTTCAGTTAAGTATTTTGCATAAATATCCGCAATATAATCAAGAGTGTATTTTAAAAGAGAGATATTTTAAGGTCACACACGACTTTAAAATCGACATCTTTAAACAAACATTCTAACCCAAATATAATTTGAAAGTTAAGCATAGAACTATATAAAAATAATTTGTCGGTATGTTACGAGAAAAGATAACATATATTCAAATTTTTTATTAAAAACAAATCATATTAGAAGGAAGTCACATTGTGAATCGAAATTCTGGAGCAAAAATTCTTTTTCTTCCGTATTTAAATTTTTACTGAAAACAAATCATATTAAAAGTGAATTATATTGTATAATCAGATTTCTATAAATTCTTTTTTAACAAATTTGATTAGTATAAGAATTTTGATTTAACAGAAAAATAAAATAATGTAAAATCTCAAGAAACACATAAAAGTGCAATGAGATTGATGGATATATTATTATATTTTAAACATAATTTTCAGAAATAATTTTAGAATCTGTGTTTATTAAGATTTAATACAATTAAGATTTAATATTATCAAGTTATCAGATAATAAAGAGATTAAAAAATTGTATCGATAGATTTATCATCAGTTTAGTCACGATTTAAGTTTAGTCATAGATTTAATTCCAATATTCATTTATTAAATAATATCGACATATGTAATTGGCAGTATAATTCTACAATGTTTACATTTAATAAATTAAGTGTTGAGTCTCATAGTTTCAATGAATTTGATTTTCAACAGCGACAAAAATTCTCGTCGTTTTTCTTATTATATTGAAATTTGGAATTTACACATCGATTTCACATCGACTCATGTATGTGTGTGTATGTGTGTATGTGTAGTACGGATTATCTCGTTTAAATTAAGTTTTAATGACTGTTCCTATTATACAATGCAGTTTCATTTTAATTTCGGTTCAATTAACTCCTTATCTTTTTTTAATTCTAAGAATTAGAAAAAGATGAAGATGAAGTTGAACTGAGATTGGAATTAATCTACATTGATAGAAATGGGCATAAATCTACGATGTTCATACTTAATTTGTTTCGACCGACAGCGATGCAACTGCTTCCTCGTGCAATCGCAAGACAGACAGACGACTTTTACGACCTTTATTCCACGAAGTGATGATCAACCTGTCTCTCGGTGATGTTAGAAGAATCTTGTAGAATGACAGGATCGATTGCAGCAACATCGCATCGGGTTTACGCAAAGTAGTGGAGAGGCAAACGATTTATTTTCTTCGTTATGTTTTCTTGCAAAAGAGATTTAAAAAAAAAGCAGCTTACTTAACTCGGTTCTACATCCTGACTTCACACGAAGCCGGTACTAGCTTGACTCTCATACGAGGCCAACGATTCTTCCTTTGTTCATCTATATGTATGACTAATCTAGAAGATTTGTTTAATTTTAAGTATGTTGATGCAATTTCAAACGCGTAATGGCGTAATTATAATCCACCTACATCTATGAGTCGTATCTACTCTTGTGGATGCAATCAACACTTAATTCAAGATCGAGCTTTTCCTACGACTTTAATGAAAAATTAAATTTCTTTGCTACAGTATAAAATAAAATTGAAAATAATTTTAAAGAAGAATAATTTGTAAAAGAGAGATAGAGAAGTGTAAAATATAAAATTGGATAATGACAGACACATGTGTCACATGTGTCACATGTGAAACAAATTTGAAAAGAATTAATCTAAATATTTCATAATAATAATTCGTTTAAAAAAATAAGACGATTCTCTCTTCTAAAAGGCTAAAGTTTTTGTGCTCGTGCAGCGCATCGCTTTCACGGAGTTAAGTGCGTATTGAAAGACTTCTCGAAATGTTAAAGAAAGTTGTATATTATTGCGCATCGACTCTTATCTCGAGAATTTGTAGAATTTTCTTTAATTTTTAACATCCGCTAATAAAGTGCCATTTGCCAAGATGATAGATCGTTCTCCATGACAATTACGGTGTTTGCTGCACCGCGAAATGTTTCTTGCGCCGCGACACGCATAAATTATCCGCGAACGCTAACCAATTCTTTCCTGCTTTGAGCAAGAAGAAAAAAATAGCGACGTAAAACTGCCAGTTACTTTTGCTTCTCTTTCTCGAGAATCCTGCGAGATTCTATTGCGAATAGAAGGGTCATCCATTTACGCGGTTAAGTGCGAAATCATATCAACCTGATTAAATCGTCATTATTAGTGAAATTTTATTTTTAAATAAACGTGCTTGAGTCTATCGATTAAAAAGTTATTACCATTTTGTGACTGCTCTATTTTATTCTTGGTCAGTTTTATCCTTTGTCACGCAGTTGAATTCCAGACACAACGGTTGATGGTTTCTTGGTTTATTGGTGCTAGCAAGTCGTCGGGTGGAAGTTATGCGGGATGAAAGTCGGATAAGACGCGCGCGCGTGCGAGCAATTTAGATGAAATCGCCGGTTATACGACAGACGCTGGGCTCGATTCTTCTGGGATCCATGGCGATCGTTAGTCACCGGAGAAATACTGATGGCCATTCGTGCTAGAGCGTAGAAATCATTGAAACGAGGCAGCAATCCGAACGCTTGTTTACTTGGCACGAGTTGTATATAAGTCATTTTCCTGCGAATAACTATATAAAAAAAAAATCCATAATGGTCGAGAGAATGAACAGTTAATGATAATCACGCGAAATTTGTGATTTTATTTCTCTATATTATCTTATTTTATTGTAATCTAATTTAATAATCGAAGAAAAGAAACAGGAGAACGTACGAGAGAGAGAGAGAGAGAGAGAGAGAAAGAGAAGAAAAACTTATCTTAAAAATTGATTAAAAATGCTTATTTTGCAGTTTCACGATGCGCAAGGAGAAAAATCAGTTTTGTATCCGACACTATTCGTACAATGCATTAATCACAAAATTGTTACATCACGCATCACCGAGATATTGAGTAGTTTTTTTTTGTTTAAATGTGATAAGATAGTTGTGAAACAATACTAGACAGATACTTACAATACTTACAGACAATACTTACTCAAGAATCTATATTTTGTAACTTGTAATCAGAGTTCGATAAAAAGATCCTGATAATAATGAATGCTCTAAATATATTTACATAATGATTAGAGGGAAATTTTTTAACCTAATAATGTTATACTTTTAGTAATATAAGCAGTAATGTAATTTAATTTCAGGCTTAAGATGTTGGTTAATGTCGAACAGAGTTGACGAGGGATCCTTGTAGGGACAGGAAGGAGAAGAAGCTAAGAGAGATACGCGTGTCGACCGAATAGTAGTTCGATTGAGAACAAAGAGACACGATGGATCCTTATTCATTGAGGTGAGAATATATTATTCATATAAGTTTATTCCCGTCGAAGACATCGCCATTACAAAACATCGAGCAGGACATTTATGCTTCGATTGTCTCGTTGAATCGATATTCTCGTTTTTTTTTGTGATTCTACACGAAAGAATAATTTTGTTTAAGTATCTAAAAAATTAACTAGATATTGGACATCAGTAATGCTGCAAAAGGTTTCGATATTCTAGCGTGTCCTATAATTAGTTTTGATAATTCAATATCCGGTTCCATCAAGATTAACTTTAATCTGTTCAATTTTTTATCTTTTTCTAATTCTAAGAATTCTTACGATAATTCTAAGAAATAGAAAAAAAATAAACAGTAAGTTGAGTCGAGATTAAAGTTAATTACATTGGTGAAACTAAGCCAAACAAAATTATTTTTATATCTATGTTTAACGAAATTTTTAAATTTAGCAAAACCGTTTTTTCCATATATGATTATAAAAACGTAATAAAAACAACATTTAAAGATGACAAGCGAGATGAACGTGAACTTCGATGATGGATCGAGATTTATTTAGACAATAATCTCGAATTTATGTGAATTCTTTGGATTTCAATGAGAAATATGAGAGGTTTTTTTTATCAGAAAAGGGACTGAATAAATAAGCACAAAATCCATTTGTACGAGAACGATCCATCAAAAAGTTTTGAATAGGACCGTAAAAATTTTTTTTGTTCTTTGTGTTGAGGCATTCCTTTATTCCTAGTTCTTTATCTCTTCCTATTTTTTGTACACATGGCATATGTAACATGTAACACATGGACAACAGAACTGTAAAGTACATAGTTGTTCTATGTACTTTGTAAATATATTTATCTCAACATGTCTTATCGTTGTAGAAAAAAACAAATCTTAAAATATTTAATCTTTATATTAGTTTAGATATTCAGTATTTTTTGGATATCTTTTAAATGCAGATATAAAGTATCTTAATTAAGAGATATGATTCAAATTGTAATTTGATTTCGACACGTTCTTTATAATTACATAAACAGAAAGCGTTGTGCGTATTATTTTTAAATATTGAGTTATTGAAGACATCGCAATGTGTTATCAAAATTGAAATTTAATATGTGAGAGAAGCAAGATAACTATGTTTTATTTAAAAATTTAGATATCGGCAAGCGAAAAGTGAATAATTAAAATCATTGTTGATAAAGAAGCAATTTAAATCGTTAAATTTATCTCAGTTTTATCTCAAATTTTGAAATAGCGAATAATTCAATAATAAAATAATTAATCAAAGTTGGAATATGTCAATAATACAAAGTTTATTAATTAAAATAATAAGCAACGTTTTTATTAAAGCAAAGTTTAAGATAAAATAATAACAATCTATTAATAAAATAACAATTTAATAATTTAGAATTATCAATATCGAAATAAAAGAGATTTAAGAGCTGTATCACGCTCAAATCAATGCCTAAGTGTTTAGCAAAGTAAGTAAAGTTTTTCAATAGATTTTTGAAATTGCAATCGAAAGGAGGACTCGCGAATGGACATTCGATTGCGAGATCGCTCATCAATTAATCTTTGACCCCAAGTTGATGCGTGTGACGTTAGCTTCTCGCGACAAATTGTTTCTCGAATATTGTAAAAAAAGTCGGTGGGGCTATATTAGGAGTTTGTAAATATTTCTTCCTCATTATAATCGCGTATATATATAGGTTTATTTTTCAAAATCTTAAAAAAAAACTGGTCAGAAGAAAAAGATCGTTTCCAAATCGATAACAATTATAAAATTTACATACTCGTTCTGAAAAAGTCATTGCTTGAAATAAATTTAAAAATCCTTTTAACTTGTGTTTTTTGGCATAAAAACTACATCATGTGTAAACGATGCGAATCAATGATGTAACTCGTGTGCGTGATCATCAAAAATCACAAAAAATGATTATCTCTAGTCGGAATGAAAGGAAATTGCACTATAAAGTATTCTCGTGAGTATTTCATACAGGAAACACGAATTTGATTGTGTTCATCTCGTAAATTTTATTATCGGGCCATGGACTGTTTAATCGATAGAACAACAGCTGAAGTAGTGTTTCGCAATAAACATATGTAAGCGACGTAACACTTTGTCTTATCACAAAATCACACTTAATATAATTCGATCTCTTACACAGGTGCGGGACTTTTCTAATCGTGTTTTCATCAGATTTATTTATCGCATCATATATGGGCGTTATCGATAATGGCATTTATCATAACATTTATTTGACATTCGTAGGATTATCCACGTACGTTTAATTTGCATTGCAAATTGTTTATTTTTATACGGTCGATTTATATCTTGATTCTGACTTTGATATTCGTGTAAAACAAAATATATTATGTTAACCGGAAAAGAGCAACACAGGCCAAGACTTGTCCACGATTTATCTGTTTGCTTATGTCATGCTAGTATTGTTACTATCTTTGTTGAATCAGGGCCAAGGTTAATGCCGCAAGTGGTTACGCCACTTCGAATAACACGTCTACTTTTAGCTGATGCACACGTAAAATGATCCCGCGAAAAGATCCTTCCACCAACAGTAGCGATTCGCGACGACAGGATTCGCGTGGAATAATAAACGAGCCGTTATCAAAGACTACTATAGTCGTAACATTAAGGCCTAATTTCACAATTCACAGTTAACTCTTAACCAAAGTCAACTTGTTTTTCATCTCTTTTCAATTCTAGAAAGAGACATTAAATTGAACCTCGATTAAGAGTTAACCGTGAGTTGTGGAACTGGATCTAAAACTCGATTCCACAACTCGACAACGATTAACTCTTATGGGCCTTCTATAATAAGCCATTAGTCATAAATTAGAAATCAGAAGACCGAAGTTAAAAACTAACGACTATGATTGATCAATTTTTAGCTTCTGACTTCTGATTTATTACTAATGGCTTATTGTAGAAGGCCCATTAACCAAATTCAATCCTCATCTCTTTCCATTTCTTGAATTAGAAAGAGATGAGGAATAAGTTGAATTAATCAGATCAATTAAGAATTAATCGTGAGTTGTGGAAATGGGTCTAAAATAATTTTAAAAAATGCAAAGAGTTGAAGCAATAAATGCCATCATAAGTTCCGTGAGTGATAGTCCCCCAACAACACGCAAAGTACGTAAGTACGTAAGTAACAGTAGTAATTAGTCCCCCCCGATGACGACATGTAGCGAAGTGAAATGGTTACCCCGCCTTTCGCTCATGGAAAATGTCAAACGGCTCTTGCCGCAAGCGCACGCTTGTAATAACAATGCAACTGTTGCGGAAGTAATATAAAAAATTTACATGTCGATGTATAGACTGCCGTAAAAGATGTAAAGTGACCATCTTGTGTCTGCATGAGTCGTCATGTCTTCATAAATAGAATCGATATTTCGAGAGCCAACAATTTACTTACATACGTCTGCCACGTATAGCATGAATTCCGCGAAAACCTCAGTATTATCGATATGTATTAGCCTAACTTATTGTTAGACTAAATCACGATCTGAATAAAGAATGTAGCCCGTGAATAACAATTCTGGTCTTTCTATTCCGGGTACCAGAAAAATGGGGACCGGCATGATAACGAGTTGTATTTAGTTTGGACATCCAAGCATATTGTTTGTAAAGAACACAGGTGTTGAATGTAAATGTGGATTTGCTGAATATAAGTCTATTTAAGGTTTTGCTACTCACTTTGTGCAAAATATTTTTGAGTTTCAAATTCAACACTTAAGTTAAATATTCAACATCTGAAGATTGAATAACCAAATATTTAATCTTGGAACAGTTTTATTCAGTACTCTGCATCGTATCGACGTTCGCAGAAGTTACGAGCGTGGCCTTATCGAAAATAGATCCGTGACGAGGAAAGAAATGACGAACTTAAGATTATTTTAAGAAAATATTAAGTATTAAAAATAATGAATAATTATGAAAATAATTATGAAAATCATTGTATTCCCTGACGTAATCGGAATAATTGCGATGATCGACTCGAGGAGCTAATCATTGTCTGTATGTGCAGATTTCTTAATGATATAATCGCGGCAGTAATTTTATCTCCTTTGGATAAATGAAAACGTTTCGACCCTGAAGACATAATAAGAATCGAATTCCGTATAGAAATGATCATTTTTTGTATTCAAATTAGATATATAAATAGTTTGTAACATGTACTGTAATCGACCTACATTATTATCTATCGCATAAGAGAGAGAGAGCAACATCATTCAAAATAGTATACATAATTATTTAAAATCTTACGTGAAAATTTTGTGAAGTTGCATAATGAGTTGAAAAATGCAGGAACTGTTTTTATAAAATTTTATTACAGCACTGTAAAATAATAATTGATTGAATTGTCTAATTTAAAGTAATCATTTGAATTAAAAAAAATATACCCGATACCCGAAGACTAAAAAAGCTGTTATAAATAGATTTATTAAACTGCAATCTATTTGCCTCCCAATTTGTTAAAGTCACGGCTAGAAACCAGATTCAACTGTGTTCAATAATACGACAATTAACGCGCGTTAATTCGTATCAAGTATATAATTATATCTAACCAAGATCGTCATTTTTTAACTGATAACAACCATTCATTTAACGAGAAGCGTTTCCAAATGTTTTATTCGTGTAAATTAATTGTTAGCTAAGTGCTTGTGTCAAGAAAATTATCATACATGCTTAGAAAGATTCATGGTCAAACTTGTAATACAAGAATTAAAAACCACATATTAAGCAATGATGAATAATATTCTGCATATTTATATATAATTTATGTAAAACAATGATAAATTTTCAACAAGCCTGTTAAAAGAATAATCATCATTAAAAATAAGCAGATTTCATTTTTCGCAGCATTTCTTCTTAAATTAAAACGATTCAATAAATTAAATTAAAACGATGTTGATTTATAATAATAAATTAGTTCACTATGATAATAATAAATTAGTTCACCATGATATAATAAATGAGTCACATGGTGCAACAGGTTCGAGAATCCATCCGCGTGATCTCATTGTTATGCGAGACAATCGGTTGGAGACTATCATTTTGACATTGTCTATGCTTAGCAGACACAACCAGCGGTTTCTGTTTCCTTGCATGGTAAATCAATTGATTGAGACCATCGGTCTTATTATTCTCCGAACAGATATTTGGACATTTCATCATTGTAAAAAAAATTAAATATCCGAATTAAAAAAAATTACAAATCAATAGTAAAAGTTATTTATTTAATAAACATAATTTCAAGGATAAATGTTTTAATAAACATAATTTTTTATTTTAATCTCGCATATATTTTACGTCAATATTTTTTCTTTTGATTCGTGATGATACAAGATTATTAATTTTGCTATAATTAGATAAATTTTATTGCAAATAAATGTCACAAGTATGACAATTGTAGTTGAAATTACGTCTGAAAATTTGAAGCTATTACAATGTTATAGTTAGACTTATTTAAGAGAAAAACCAGTTTTCGTAATTCATGTAATAGATTCGATGCTTAGGAAATGTTTACGAGAGAAAACAGAATTCGATAAACATATATTTTCACTTAATGTAAGCTGAGTTGCTCCTAAAAATTACGTGACTTTTTCGTACGTCAAGCTGCGAACGAAATAGCGCTATAAATAGCATTGGCTTATTGCAACTTCGTAATAGATTAAACACTTTTACTGAACTGTTTAGAAACGTATGTTAAATAAAAAATAGAATCGAAAATAGAATAGAAAAATATTGATTATAAAAATCGATTGCAAAAATAGTGTGCATACGGAAAGAATGATTTTGCTGACGTAAAAAAATTAGCTACAAATCCAAAAATAATTACTTAGAAATCTCGAGCATGATAAACAGTACTGCAAAAAAGTTTTTACATTCAATTTGAATGTCTTACATAATTATTTTGGCTCAACAAAATTATTTTCAGATCTGTATCTAGTTAAATTTTTAGATAGTAAAAAATCATTCTTTCCGTGTAACGAAGAACAATTCATTAATATTAATTAAAACTTTCTTTAAAATATATATTATCATGCATAAATGTTATAATCTTTGTCAATAAAAAATAAATCATCGCGTTTTTTACTGTAATAAAAAATGTTCAAGTATCATTTAGTTACAACGGATTAATACGGTTTAATTATATCAGTTTGTATTTAATTTAATTTTAAGGATTACACATTGCTATCGATTGTAAATTGCGTTTTGATATATGAAACTTGCGAAAAATCAACACATAGTCAAGGATCGATGCGATAAACATTTATGGATTGTAACCGCAGTTTAAATGAACACAGGACAAGACAATATGTTGTGTCATCACTTAAATGGCATACCGAAACGTCGAACAAACAAGTAACGCGCGTGACAAGTAGCTATTATCGTAAATTGCAATGTGTTCGGAAAAGAGATACGAAAAACACAGTAAAAGACGAGTTGGTAAAATTCGCATCAACAACGTTAGTTATCAATTTATTTGACGATCGATTAATGACACCCCATTGTGTTTCAGCGTGGAGCGAGAAGCATCGAAGAATATCGAAGAGAATGAGCGAGAGTGCTTTAAAGATGCGATCGTCTCGAGTCGGAGCCTCAACAAAGGTTTCGTCGAACCAACGAACCTTAGAAATGCTATCCGAGAGGTATCAATTATATCATTATTCCAAGAAGAGAGAAGATAATTACTTTGTTCTATTTTCGAGTGGTAGTACCTTTTCCATGTGAAAGAAAAGCTTTACAAAAGCTACATAAAAAAGAATGAAAGAAATTTTGTTGAAATATCTAAATTTAGCTAAATACATATCTGAAAATTATTTTGTGTGGACCATAAAAATAATTATATAAGACGCTCAAACTGGTTATTAGAATGTTAAAACTTTTTGTAGCGTTGTTATCAATGCTTACATATTTTCTATAATTATTTTAATGGGGGAAGTCCAACAAAATTATTTTTAGATCTGTATCTAGTAAAATTTTTAGATACTCTTTTACTTAATTTTTAAATTCAAAACCATTTTTCCTTGTATGATCTTCTGCTTGAATAATATTCGATCATTAAATTAGATTTAATAACAGAATTTTTTTTGCATTCTAATTAATAATACGTATTTTTTTAAATAATATCTTTGAGAACAATTCGTCGATATTTTAAAGAAATCATAGTGAAAAGATAAAAAATGAGTTTGAGAGTTTGTTCTCGTTCATTTGTTTCGCGGAGAGAGATCTTAAAAGTATTATGATAAAGTAGAAAACCAAGGTGAAATTTTACGGAAAGCTATGCATAACAATTTTCAATCTTCGCAGATTGCTGCCTGCATCATTGCAGCGTCTTTCCACATAGCGGTAGGCTTCACCATGGCATATTCAGCAATTCTCATTCCTCATCTCGAGAAAGAAAACGCACGGTTACATGCCACGCAAGAACAAACTTCTTGGATAGGTGAGTACAAATATATGAACTGAATGTATTGCACAAATATATATATGCGAGGCAGTAAAGATAAAAATGATAATAATGTAACGTGTCGCTTGATCAAAAGCGATTACGTGATATTTATGAATTGATAATCACTTGATCTCTTTCTTTAAATAATCCATTAAGTACTCAAAATAATGACGACGCGAGATAACAATCTATTTACAATTATATAAGCTAGATTACGTTTGTCGTAAAAGAAACGAAATTATTGTAAATATAATAGTCAGTTTTACGTAAAATCATTATTGACAGTTAGTTATCTTTTCTTATTGATAAAGTATGGTCGCGAGAGTGATTACGTAAAAGTTGTAATTATCAGAAGAAAACTATACATGCACATTGTTCTGCGTGTCTGTGTTGCATGAGAGGCAGTTACCCGTTCGAACTTCGTGCTCTGATTAAATTCGTGTTACGCAAGATCAATCTATACTCATCGGCATTGCAATCTTCTCGCGACAATAGAAGATTGTTTTTTTCCTATACCTATACAAATTTTCAGTCTAGCTAATCGAGCTCTTGTGTGATCGTTCGAATATGATTTTATTGAGACGTATTCGAGCAGAACGAAAGTCATCATGAAATACCATCAAAATGGCTTCAAAATGATTATTGAATCACTTTTCGATCACTCATAATTCACTTTAATATCAATATTTTGATAAAATGATATTAATATAGTCACGATTCATAATGTTATTCTGATGTTATCGTGATGTTATTCTGCTTAGGTATATAAAGAATTAAAAACAGTTCTTATACGATAATCGGGAAAAATAAATCTAAAAATGCGTTGAACTAATAAAAATATAAAGTATAACGAGAAAATTAGTATGAATTAAGGATTAAAGACGTGAAATAGAGAGCACAAAATAAATAATATCGATTCCTTTCAGCCAGTCTAGCCGTCGTGAGTGCGCCAGTTGGTGCCTTAATAGGGGGCTTCCTCATGGAAACGTTTGGTCGAGTGAGAACTCTGCAGATCGGTGCGATTCCCTCTTTGATTGGTTGGATCTTAATTGGTAAATCGATCAATATACCGATGTTACTAGTCGGTCGTTTGTTAACTGGATTAGCGACCGCCCTGATGACTTCGCCAGCAATCGTCTACATCACTGAGGTAGCCAGGCCGGAACTCCGTGGATCTTTGATCTCATTTGGACCAACGCTGGCATCATTCGGCATGGTGCTGTGTTATCTGAAGGGTGCTTACATAAAATGGGAATTCGTCGCTTACTTCAGCATCGCCTACTCATTCGTACCCATTTTTATGGTGCAATTTCTAGTACCGGAGTCGCCCATCTGGCTTATCTCAAAGGGCCGCAAAGAAGATGCCAAGAAGTCTTTGGACTGGTATAATTTAATCTGATTATTAAATAACAAAATTCATATAGATATCAAATATACAAAATGTAAAACTATAGGTAACCTGAAAGAGTATGGTTGCATTAATTTGAATTCTGGTTAAATATGAACAAGTCCGAATTTCTTGATTGAATGTAATATAACTCTAATTAAGATAACTAGAATTTTGATTGATTAGAATCTTTTGGTTCGTTCATTTTTAACTAAAAATTTTTTTTAACTAAAAATTTTGCTCAGTGTAATAATGAACACTTTCACTTAAAAATTAATAATTTGAAAACTAATTGCAGGAATTGATATTTACTAATTAATTAAATTGTTCTTCAAAATAAATGTTTAAGATTATCTCAAGGCTTTGCAATCTCTTATTTTTAATATATATAAACAATTGATAATTCCGCCTTCCGTAGGCTTTACAAGAATGAGACATCGGAAAGCAAGACATCGGTGGCTCTGGCGCAATTTAACAATATTGTGAAGGAATACGAAATTAAATTGAACGAGCAACGACGTAGCAAACACGGTAGCGCAGCCAGTAAATGGCGAGGATTTTTTAAACCGACTGGATGGAAACCTATGGCAATACTCTTCCTATTCTTCTCGTTTCAACAATTTTCCGGAATTTATATCACGCTGTTTTACGCAGTGACTTGGTTCCAAGTAATTGAAAGATATTTATATATGTATATATCTCCATATGTATATATCAGTAAATTTATGCATTTTGTTTTTTTATATTTTATAAATTGTATTCAATTATAATTTATGTACATTATATAATGATAACAACTTACAATGTTATGGTAACGTCAAAATATAGTTAAAATGAATTGTAATTGATTGAAAAATGACTTTTAGTAGTCATTTTCATTTCATGATGATTTGTGTTCTGTTTGGAATTTTGTTTATTGATGATCGATTTATAACTGTACGAAAAGAATGAGTTTGCTAAATTATCAAATATTTAATTAGTTATAGATCTAAAAATAATTTTGTTGGACCATCAAAGTAATTACGTAGGTATCGCAAACATGATGAGTAATGCTGCAAAAAGTTTTAACATTCTAGAAAATAGTTTAAGTGTTTCACATAATTATTTTGATAGTCCAACGAAAGTATTTTCGGATCTAACTAATGTTTTAGATACTTGAGCAAAATTTCCTTGCGATAACGGATGCGGGAGATTAGAACTTGCTACAATTTTCAGGAAGTAGGTGCGGGTGTAGATGCGTATTTAGCATCAATTTTGGTGGGCCTGACGCGTTTCTTGTGCTCCATGGTGAACACTTGGTTATTGAGGCGATACAAGAGACGATCCTTATGTATTATATCATCCATCGGGATGGCTCTGTGTATGATCGTCTCCGGTTATTTCACGCTGAACATTAAGAATGGCGATCGTAGCGGATTCTGGGTAAGTTCTAGAATTGTTTCTCGTATAATTTTGTTAAATTTAATTTTTAAAGGACATGAGAAAAAACGTGATACTCGCAGGTACCGGTGGCTTGCCTGCTACTTTACGTGTGTACATCGATGGTCGGGATGTTGACCATTCCATGGACTATGACGGCGGAATTGTTTCCGACCGAAATCCGCGGGATCGCCCATTCCATCAGTTATTCTATGGCAAATTTACTCATGTTCGCCGCGTTGCAGAGCTATAGAAGTTTGCAAATTTTCCTAGGAGGTACGACATTTGAAATGTGTTTATATCTCAATTTATATCTCAAACTTAATTATCATATTGTGATATTTTACTCGCAACGATATCTCTTTCACATTCCAATTACTTTGGTATACTTTTCTATTTTTCATTTCTGTTATTCTTTTTATCATTAAATCTTAATTTAATCATTATTTCACTAAAAATTAAGGCTAGAGAATCATGCATCTCTCAAAATAGTTATGTATAGACAAACTTGGTTAAGAAAATTCTTCTATTTCAAGGTGCGTATGCGGTGCAGTATTTCTTTGCCGGTGTTTCCGTGGGGGCGGCTATTTTCGTATGGCTATTGCTGCCGGAGACGCACGGGAAGAAGCTGTCGGAGATCGAGGAATACTTTCACAATAATTTTCTGGCCTTGGGAGCGGAGGCGAAGGACAAAAAGCGGCGAGCTGCGAGAAGGGCTCAGCAGAAGGCGACCGAGCCACTCAATCCGAAAATCGTGCAGAACGTTTAAGCTCTCTTACTTTTCTCTTCGTTCTTTCGTAACGATCCGCGAATTTATGAACGCAGAGTTCAAGATGTCTCGGAGAAAGTGACTGAAATATTTAAAAAAAAAAAAAATTCACGCAACTAGCATTAATTCTTACGCGACTAATTTTCTAACCGTGTGCGAACCGTACGCCCGAGACATATTTAGTTGTGCAAACTATCGTTTTGATACAAATGATATAACTAGTTTATTCATTCGACGTGAATCGTATCTGGCGAGACAATCGAATACTTGAAATATTTAGGAGAGTGGCACAACTTTAACGAACGGCATGATAAATAAAGTGCGAAGCTAAATCTTAGTGAATGTAATTTTGCGCTTCGTTGCTTTCATTTATTCTCTCCACTTATAATTACATAATTTAGAGTTTGATCCAAACGTTCACGTGTGACACGCGCGTATCGTACGATGTACAATATATGTACGATAAAAGCGAAGCCAATGAAAAATGTTTCTCCAATGTTTCGCTCCTCGTCGAACTAGAGCTGATTATACACGTCAAGATATATTATTAATGTAACGTTATGAAAGAGAAAATTACAAATAATGAGAGAGAAAAAGAGAGGGAGATAGTACACCGCGCGATAAAAAATGCGAGACTTGGCGTTTAGCAAAGAATCGTATACGCTTCGCGCGCAAGAACGTCCAATCATAGTGCCTCCAATTTTCCTTTCCTACGAAAATTTCGCACGAGGATTATCGTTACAGTATTATAATGCCGATCTGATGTTGCATAGAATTACATAGAATTGATCGCGATAAAGAATTCTCCGCTTTCTAAACTGTCACTCGATTTTGCCGCAGTTTTATTTCAATGGCATAACGGTGCGATCTCGGAAAGATTAATAATTTACGATTTACGAACATTAACATAGACAATTTAAAACCGTGAAAATTTAATATATTGAGTAATTATGTAATAAACGAATAGTTTGTATAGATATCGGAGAGATGTGATTGTGTCGCTGAAATTTTAGTCTAAGATAGAGAAAAAATGTATAGCGATTTGTAGTAAATTCTCCGATCGAGCATTCCTTCTCTCTAAATTTTTACTTTGGAGTGAAATCTTATTTTAAAAAGTTGATTTCTCATTAAAGAGTTCATCTCATTCTAAAGAGTGAGATTTCATTCCGAAAAATTGAAATAGTTCTCGATATATTATAATTTCGCGAATTCGCTGCGATCAAGTGAGTTTATTGAGCGGATAATTTGCTTGCGCTCGGCGCCGTTTATTTAGGACAGATACTTAGATTATTCAAGAAATATTTAGTTTAATGTCATTAAGGATCATTTAGACGGAGCGAGACGTTGTTTAAAAAAGTAGCTCGCAATGGTACACGGAAAGAATGGTTTTGCTAATCATATAGAAAAATTAGGCCAATACAGATTTAAAAATAATTACGTAGGATACTCGTGATAATAATTAATGTTATAAAAATCTTGACAATCAGCTTGATCGTCTAATATAATTATTTAAATGATTCAACATAATTATTTTCAGATCTGTATCTATATATCAAATAGATATAGACAAAGTTGAAATTCCGAACACAATACATCTTTTACATGGTTCTCACTATTCTTGCAAAAAAGGCATTAGGCTTTAAGGTGTCTTTTAAGTCCTGTGTCCATGATGTTAGAAATTGATCCGAAATTTTGGACAGAGAAAGGATTAACAAATCACATTGGAACAATTTAGTAGCATGACCAACGCAATTGATCAATTTTTTCTTCATGCGAGATCTCGGATTGATTTCTAGCATTGTGGATACAAGGCTTTAGAGATCTTGTGTTCTGATTTTGGATGTTGTCTGGCTGAATTTAAAAAAAATACTTCAACAAAACGTTCTTTTCGTGTAGTCACAAAACATTGCAGAATTTACAACATTCACATTTCATTCATCATAATATCGTGCAGATACTTCAACGAAAAACAGATATGAATACAATCGCATTTGTCACTCACGTGTTGACAATCAAATTTGTAAATAAAAAATAACTCCACTGTATAATTTAATTGTAATCAAATAGCAATTCAATAAATTGTTGCGTGGTTCAGATGGTTTTACACAAAATTGTTCCGTCTAAATAGACTTGAAGAAGGAAATCGTCATGTAAACCCGTGACGGACGGCACTCTTCGACAGATTGGAAGGGTCCAATCGGCGAATCGAATTTTATATTTTTATACGTTGAAATACACGGTATATGCCATATACGAATGTGATAAGTTATAATAAGAGACAAACCTCCCGTAATTTTCGGCTTGCGTTGGCGACGTGCCGTTCACCACGCTTTTGCAAAATAAGTTTCATCTCCGACTGATGGCCAGTTTCATCGCGATTACGAGTGATGCTCATAGTCTAATCTTATATTTAATATAATAAGTCATTTTGAGACAATTATTTCGATCATTATATTGGTTGAATAGAATCTAAGATTCAACCTAAGACGTAAGATTTTAGATCTATTCTCATAGTCTCCGATTTTCTCTGAAGGACTATGAATAGCATCCTATGTTTGGTCACCATTCAATCGATCGTTCCGATAAGAACGAAGAATCAATAAAACCAAACTTGATGCAGCCGGCCATCGATTATCTACTTTTATTACATGTGATATCATTTTTCACTTTATTTTTCTTTGTTTCCCTTGTAAAATGGACAAATTTTAATACTTAATTTATCCATAGCGAGAAACTTCGTATTCGTTCGCGAAGAGTATGGAAGTGCGTTTTTGTAAATCGTGATACTTTTTCGATATGCTTGCGTTAAGTTAGAAATTTCTAAGACCGCTGTCGCAAAAACGCGTTTGGAACAATGAGAGATTTCTCCTCCGTTTTCTCTTCGTTCTGCGTTCTTCTTCATGTATATGTGGTAATACTTAGGTCGATGTACATTTTGTATCGTTATACGAGCTTCTATTATTATATACACGATTTATATTAGTTTAATAAAGTATTTGTAATATAAAACACTCTTCTCCTCTTAATTTGATTACGATCCGATAAATGGTGAGAGATTAGATTAATTTAGAGAAATAATCTTATTTTCGGTCACACAAAGCGGATTAAATTAGTGCTTAAGTATTTCTGTGTGAATTTATATAAGTATTCAATTCTGCAAACCGCGCGAAATTATTTGCAATTTTTAACATCAAATTATTCTTCTATTTGTTTATTGGCAAAATTACTAAATTGCTTACTAATTTAATATGTGATATTACTATTCTAGTTCTGTTCATGATTGCGTTCCAAGATTGAAAAAGATTTCTGCGCGCGGTTTCCAGAATTAAACATGTATATAAATTCATTCTGAAATATAAATAGAATTATTTCTCTTAATTGATTTATTCTCGTTCGTCTAATTAACAAATTATAATTCAGAGATTAATTTAGAAATAATTAATTATCGATTATATAATAATGATGAAATTCAGTAGCAATTTATTAGCAATATATCGATTAAATGTTATATTGGGCTAATATTTGGGCAATATTTGCTACTAGGAAAATCAATCGTAGCTTAATAAATATCATATTTATTTACGTTAATAATTTTCGTAATAAAGCTTTGGTAAAAAGTACGGGATTAATTAAAAAGACCAGGTTGGGACCAAATGTTTATTTCCTCAGGAAACTTTCGCAATATTCCTGATAGGTCTCGAATGAATCGACGAGCGAACAATGACAGAAATCGTTATTGCAATTGCCAAATTACGATACATATTTAATGCGATCTTTATTCGTATTAAAGAAAGGAAGAAACGGCAATTTGATCGCAAACGGAAATGCAGAGAGCAATAACGATGTCTCGTATTAATGTCTTATGTCAAGTTGGCAATTACAATATCAATACAGTGGTAATGTCGTTGCGATGATAGCTTATTGTTCAAATTTATCGGCGTGAAAAAAATTTCGACAGAGCTTCTTATCTTCGCGTTTTATTCTCTAGTATTTTATTCCTCTCCTCGGGCTTTCGTCTCTGCGTTGAGATTTGTCGAGCCGGATCCAACAGATCGAGCGCGGGTAAAAGTCTAACTACAAATCCAGATAATACAAAATCTTAAAAATGTCTTTTGCAAAAATATCTTTAAGACGTCTTGTGTTCCATTTTGGACTTTATGTTGTCTGAGAATGTACGTGAAAAAATTTTCGGTGTCTCCATATATGGCGGAAAATAAATTTTTACGAAAAAGTACAGAAAAACAACATTGAGACACAATTTTAGAAATTCTTAATTTTTCGTAAATATTTGTAATGGAACGTAGTATCGTTATTTGAGGGCGGGGATTTCTTGGTTTTTCGAACAAATAATGCTACTCTGTGTCTCACTGCGAATATCTATGAAAAACATCTATGAAAAATTTCTAAGACCTTATTGTTTCAATCTATGTAATGTTTCGTAAAAATTTTTCGCCATGGCTAACAACGATATGTGCGCTTGCGACACAAATGCGATGAAGAAAACAGTTCCGATCTCGAGAATTATACGGGACAGTCGTAATTATAACCGTCACAAGATTGACACGCAATTTACAAATAAATCGACTATAATTAACAGAAATTTGCCATTCCTTTTCAGCAATTTGGTCATTTTATTAATTCGCATTATTCGCAGAATTATTCATGGCGAAATAATTAACCTCGATTAGACCTCTCGTTTTTAGGCGCATATCGCGCTCATAATTATTCAAAATATTGTCCACGCTTGAATTAACGTAATAACGAGATAAATAACGATAGTACTCACATCTACGACATCGTGGCTCGAGGAAGTACTTCTTCGCACGCATTATTGAAGCACACGAAGAATAAATTCAAAGATGCGTCGCGAACGGACTGAACTTGCGTGAGATCCATTCGACTCGAAGTCTTGCATCGATGTCGCGCATCGACGTCAACTTCATGATGCTTCAGGACAAAAGCGGAACATTCGAATTCTAAAACTAAAACAGATGTAATCCAATCTAATCAGATTCTTGGTATTCACCGCCGGTATTCACAATTAATTCTTATATTTAGACTGTCTTAAATGCAGTCTTAAGATAAAACAATCACAAAGCCATATTAGCGTTTTATAACACTAGATGTGTGTTGATGGTGGATATATCTAGTGACAAAGTACCGCGGATACTTTTTAGATGACCCAATACATTACTTAAGACGGTCTTGAAATAAGAATCGATTATGAATGACAGCCTCGAAAATAGAATATTTCTCCTTGATTAAAAATTGAACTGCATGATTCATAATACAATGCAACATATTGTAAGGAACGTTCTTTGAAAATTTTACTAAGCTTTTCCAGATTTTTTTACATATATCGAATTCGCAGCAAGAAAATGTGTCTCACGCCCCTTTAATATATGTCAAATATGATATATATTAAACATAATCGAACATATGTAAAATTTTCATAGCAATAAAGACGCAATAATTAGTAATTACAATACATTCTTTGTTTCATTCATAAATAACTGCGGTGCCCATTCACTCATACTTTCTCAGGAAATCAACTTTTTTTTAAGTTGAGCTTTTTGCCACACTGTTGAATCTCAAATCTAAGTATCTATATCTAATTTGCTTTTACTTTTCGAATTTCAAAAATAAGTTTTTTTTATTGTTTAGCAGATCGTACGAGTCGCGCTATCAGTCGATCATCGCGCACGCACATGGAATTTGTTTTTCGATAGTCGAACCTTCGAATAATCGGGGAGACAATTAACGCGCCGATTTGGGACATTTCGCATTGCGCGCAAAGCGGATGAATAAAACTACGATTTGCAACTGCTGGATGCAAAAAAGAAGAAACGTGATAGCAGTGCACGTGAGGGGGAGGGGGGGGGGGGGGGGGGGGGGGGGGGGGGGGGGGGCACGACAGAAACGCTCAACGACGAAATTTATTATGCTCGCGAAATAGTTAACAGCGGATGTTAACAAACATTAAAATGATAACGCAGGAGGCTTACATTCTATAGCTTCTCCGTAGACAACCGAACGATCCGGCTTCGCGTTCGAAAAAGAAAGGAGAAACTGTCGCAGAGGATCATTCGTAACGCCCACCGCCAAATCCTCATATATATCACACACGCATCGAGTTACAATTACAACGCAAGTCGAGTATCGATATAATATTAATAATAATAATAATAATAACGCTCGTAAAACTTAACAGAACAAGCGAATCGATAAACATTATCACCACGCAGAGCCTGGCTGTGTCAGAGAGCCTCGTATCCTCAGCACGACCAACGCTGCAGGCAGTGACGATGAGCTACCTAATCCGTATATCAATTATTATATTACGTATAATATAATTACACGTTCTAAATATTATTTCATATATGTATATATATATACACACACACACACACACACACACACACACACAACCACGTGTCACACAGGCCATGCCCTAAATCGACGCGAAGTCAAATAGATCGCCAAAGCGCTTGAGTATCGAAAATTGAGAATCAACGCAAGACAAGATTCGCAAGATGCATATTTGAAATAAACGTTGCATATATATATGTATATTTAAAATGGATCTTTGCGAATTTTATTGATCTGCGTTGAGCCCTCTTTTTGATACAACTTGATTTTACAGATGGTTACTTAATGGCGTATTTGAATTTTCCGCAGATTTAAAGGCGCGATTAAATCTTTCAATTAGAATATCGCCGCGCGAAATATCGATTATTTAATTACGCAACGAGGATCCGTCTCGTCTTTTCCGCGAGAGGCTATCCACAAACATCATTTATTTATCTTGACAATAATTTGACAATTCAGCATCTCGAATAAAGTGTCGCACAAGCGTAGAGTAATTAATATTCGCATGTTGAATAAATATCTATTCGTGAAATGTATTTTCCGAGATTCTATTCGGAGCGCAGAATGGGAAAAATATCGAGTTCATCTAAAATTTTTCTATGCTACGAGAATAATCAATAAGACCTTTTTCTTCTTTTTTTTTATCGCGAAGCAGTGTTCATTTATACGACGTCGGCAACAGTCGACCTTATATATTTTCCTCCTCTATAATCTCGATCGTGTTATCCGCAAAATTGTTTCTAGGTGATGCTGAAAGACAATCTTCAATCAAATTCCGTCGCGTCGACGTCAAAGGCACCAAGTAAAAGAAATACAGTACGTCTGTCTCGTGTTTTCCCTTTCAAATTACTCCTCATTCTAATATTTATTCGATATTTTGCATTTTCTTTGGCACTATTTGGCCGTATCCGAGACGTGAATCATCACGCTGAATTATCGAGATATTATCAGATTTTTTTATATTCGTAAGTGACTCACTTTTTTCTATCTGTTTTACGTTCGGTATATTCGTATCCACATCGAACGTTTCCAAAAAAATTTTTCCGATATCTCATAATAAATCTCTTCAATGTTGCGCCTTGACAAATTCATAATAAAATTATATTTATTATCCTTATATATATGTATATATATCGTATCTCGACTAAATATATGTAGTAAGAAAAGGACAAAAGGGATGATTTATACGTAGAATATATATAATTTTTTTTCTTATACAGTAAACAGAAACGACAATGGCACAAAATGTTACTAAACTCGTTACGTTAGCGTTTGATTTAGCGTTCATTCAATTATTGGCAACGTGATGAACAGTTTAAGTGTTAATGTTAGTCTCGAGCAGATCAATTTACTAATCACTGCTACTTTTATTTATGCTTGCTTCTTAAACATGCGCTAATTTCTCAGCCACGCAATCTCATTCTCTCACATCAAAAATCTCTCTCTCTCTCTCTCTCTTTCTCTCACGTATATTCTTTCGTGTATGTTATTTAATTTAATGTTTAATTTTATTTGTGTCTATGCATGGTTCGTCAAAAAAAGACTCGACTATTCCGTTTGTGTCTTTTACGTCATTGTGCGTCCTTGGGAATCTGACTAGCACGTAGATTTCAGTTGAATAAATTATACACTTTTCATTTTTCCTTATCACGTGTCGTTGCTGTGAGGTGCATTACGACATATCGCCGGACATGCAATTACGCTCGACGCTAAACGTAAATTCGGTACTAAATGTAAATAAGCATACGATATACATATTTTAACATTTGCTGATTAATTTGCGTGATTAGTGTTCGGCTGCGCATTACGAGAGATATTTAAATCATTCGTAGACTGATGTTGCATTGCGTTCTCTCAGTTTGTCATCCATCTCGTTGAATTATCAGTTCCTTATGGCGATGGAAGATTTGAAGTCCCGGGACAGAAAAAAAATATTTTAATCTTACTGTTTGCAAAAATGGAAATAAAAGTTCGGTCATATACGTATCAACATAAATATTGGACTTCCTAAATACTGTGGCTTCCTACCATAAAATACGGCATAGTTGGCATTATGTACAAGATCGTGGTAAGAAAATAAAAAAGATAATTAGCAAAATTAAACAAATTAAGAAGCTGTTCATTTCATAAAGGAATATATAATATTGCATAAATAATTTCACAAACCTTTCCATAGAAAAAAACCTCCTTGCGTATCACGGAACAGTACTTAAAAGATGTATCAGTCGAAATTATGTGATGCTCACTTAAAGGCATATAATTAATCTTATAACAATATAGTTGTTTTATGCTCTCATAAAAGATGAAAAAAATCTACGAACCGCATATGTTACGAATTCCCTTTGCTTTACTCTCTTAATAAGAATTAACCAACTATACAAGCCCTTATTGTTTTAACAATTAATTCGATAAACGTAACATCAAAACAATTATCGTCGCGTTGATTCCGCATATATTTTTGTTGTCTCGAATAGCGATTCGCACTCCATCGCGAAGTGACGCACACACACATACGCACATCAGTCTCTATCGTATCAAAACTTTCGAGTCATACTGTTAAAACCGTCGTCATTAACCATCATGATGGATCGGACTTACTGAGGAAGCTAACAAGCACTTGCTCATGCCGCGCGCCGAAGCGAGCGAATCTTTTAAGTATCGCGACCCTGAGAGTCGTGGTATTGGATGTTGGTTAATTCTTGCTGTTACTACGCGGACTCGCAGGTTGACTGTTCGCCTGTTGCTGCGCACGTTGTATATAGATGTTCAGTAGCTTGAGCTTACTGGAGTATAGACAACTTAGGTGCGGCTTCAACACTTCCTCGCCGACCGCGACGTGGATTGCCACCATGCAAAAGACTGCGCTCTTACGAACCGCGCTTTCATTGTCATCGTAAGCCTGTAGTACAAAGAAACATACAATCAGTATATATACTCTGTTCAACAAGAGAATGACCTCGGTTTGTGCATAACAGGCAATGTAACGTTATACAATGCTATGCTTGCACAAAACAGACGAGTTTTCGTCCGATCTGAGATCATTCTCTCGTTGAACGGAGTATAGTACAATACAATATGTTAAATACAAATTTGAATTTCATCAACTTTTCTCACCTTAATAAGACCAGGCATTACTTTGGCAAGATGAGGTTCAATAGCTTCTCGACCCCAATGCTCTACCACCTTGTGCAACATCTTTATCGCGCCCATATTCAATGGGTATGACTCTGTAGCAATTATAGTGGAGACCAAATGGATAATTTGTTCCGGTTTTAAAACCATGGCCATCGTCGCTGCACACTTTTCCGCATTCCAATGAACCTGTTAATGATATATAATGTCACAGATATGTAACACTACTAACTTGTTAATTAAAAAATTAAACGGAATTAATACTCACTGGAGATCTGCCACCGCTACCGCCGGAAGAATCGACCTTTTGATCATCTGACTTGTAGGCATAGATAACTTTCAATATTAGTAACTCATTGTAAGAGGAAAAGCTTTCTATCAATTCGGAACACTTAAGCATATCGATCAGCGTTTGTAGAACTTCTACTTGTATCACTTTGCCATCATTGGATAAGCTGTCTAACAAAACTTTGAGCACTTTCCTGAAATATCAAAGAATCGTTAAATCATCAGGATTAAAATGCTGCGTTAAGGCTTGCTACTGATATACTGGCTTCTTCTTTATAATAAGAAAAACAGCTAGTATTCCGATTGCTACAATCAACTCCAGTAAGAACGAGATTTAAGATACGTGTGAGTACATCGTGACATACTTGAAATTTCGTTTAATATATGACGAATCGCCTTCGCGGACATAAAGTTGAAATTCTTGCAACGCCGATACTTTTTCCGTAGTTTGCGCTACTTTAGATTGCAGAGTTTTAACCATATTATCCACGATTTCTGGTCTGTTTGTTGAATCTGGTGATGATCCTGTATATAAAATAATGTAAAACACTTCAATTTTACATACACAGATTTTTTTCTGAAAAAATAAAATACATACCATGCGTTTTATAACCATTGTTCTCTTGAGGTAGAATCAAATCACCGGCAATTGTATCGGATCCATTTACCGTTATATTGCTAACAGATCGTCCTCGTTGCGTCGGTGAGGAAACGGACGAGGATCGACCCTAAAAATAATAATTAGGATAATCTCATCGTAATTCATTCGTTTTCTCACGATATTATTTTACTAAACTTACCGAATTGGATAACGTCAAACCTTCCATTCTTTCCTCCACATCTGCCATATTACTAATACCACTGTCTTTGCTAGTGGTGGCTCTCTCTAAACGTTCGAAGCCGTAATTTTGGATTTCGGCGGTCGTGCGTCGTAGAGATCTGTAGGAAAAACTTCAAAAATTAGTATACTTAATATTGTTTAAAAATAAGAATGTATTAAGTTTCAATTTAATTATAAAATATCTTATGTTGCAAATAAATTAACACGACAAAACGCTGTCCACGTACTTGTATACTTCCTCCAAGTTCTCGTCTCCTCCATCGATTTCAGTCTTGTCCGCTTTAACATCGTTTTTCGCTTTCGTTCGCGCGGGCGAATTTTGCGATCTAGGCGGTGGTGTACCAGGTGATGCCGGAGTACTAGAAGTGGAAGATTTCCTTAAATGATTCTGTACTAAAGGCCAAGCTGTTTCCTAAAAAAAAAAAGGAAAACAATGATTCAGCGCGATATGAGAAAACGTAGAAATAAGTAAGCTAGTAATTAGTTTATTCAACACACTTGATAGTATTTTGGTAATTCGGAGAGTATCATAGTAACTTGAGGCGGATTAAGATTGTAAAGTGATATCACAGCGTTTTGCGCATGTCTCCTCACGTCGTGGCTTTTGCCGTCATTTGACCAGTCGAGCAGTCGTGCAAGTGCTGTCGCTGCAGAACTGCCTAACGCGGACGGTTCTGCCGTCTCAGCGATCTGCGTGATAAAAGTCAATGCTGCTACTTTCACGCGAGAATTTGGTGTTTGTGTTGGATCTGTCAGATACCTCATCACAGCTGGTAGAAGCTGTTGGCCCGGGAAATAATCTCTGGACAAATCATTACGTATACATGCATATTAAAATTTAATAATCACAATAAATTCGATGATACAAATGATACAGTATTGCGTGAATAAAAGTTGTTGAATCCTTACCTCACAACATCAAGCGTTTTGTGTATCTTTGTCTGTATAGATCCCAATAGATCGGTGCCTAACTTATTGAGAAGCCTCGCACATAAAACATACAACCAATCGCCAAGACCTTCGTTGTGAGTAATCAGTAGTTCGTTCAATGTGTCCAAGAACAAACTGAACACCTTGGTGTGAGAATCCATAAACATTTTCGTAAAAATATCCGTCACTCTACGCAAATCTGTTGTTGTCAAAGTATTTCCGTTGCTCAAATAATGTTGCAAGCCCACTAAACCTTCTTTTCTGTCTCCCCAATGTTTATGAGCACAGTTTTCAATAATCTCTTTGATGTCCTGTAAAATGAGAAAAAATTGCTGCGTGTTGCTTTCCAAGTATTAATTCATAACTATATTCTGAAATATTCTTGATGCAAAATAATGGATAACAAAAAGAATGTTCTCAAAATAATAATCTTTTCTTTTTTTAATATTAACATACAATTGCTGTATTAATCGATTTACGAATATTTAATAAATCAGTTTTACTTCAATGAGCAGAAATAAAAAAAAAAGAATTTAACAAACCTTCGGGATAGATTGATCCCATAGATCACGGTATAATCTCGATTGAGAGCCACTCCATGAGAACGACTAATGGGTAGATGGGCGATGGAGAAATATGGAGAACAGAACGGCGTGTCGCGTTAGTCCAAACCAAACAAATATGCCGCAACAAAATCAAAAGTGAAAAAACCATGCATTAGCTACATTATCATACAGTGCTAAAAGCTTCATTAAGGTACTCTGTTTTCTATAATAAAAACTTGATTTATATATAATCAACATGAAATTGTAAAATAACTTCAAACATTTTATTATCTAAACAAATATATTTTTTATTATAAATTATAAAACTAAAATATTCAAAGTTTTGAAATTTACGTATTAATTTGCATGCCATTAAAATTGAAATAAAATTCAAGTACCATGTATAAGCATTAACCAATCAATTATAAAAAGCGGTAAATTTATTAATTATAATATAAACAAGTGTAAATTCATAATATGAATAGCACATGACATATAAGTGAAAGTGTTCGTCATTTTCTCCTTTGTAAACGCGTATGTGCTAGCTTATAAGAAAAAATTAATTTAACAATAAACATATTACATAACTTCGATTCTGTAATGTGATATATGTCCATGTTTTGATCGAAGTAACAAAAATTCAACACTAAAGCCAACGAATGTGCATCACTTTCTTATTTCTTTGATTGAATAATAAAATTTGCACTTACATCACTGGCTCGTCTAAAACCGTCTATACTTCTTTCCGAGCATATACTGCTGTTTTCGCTGTCGTCACTGTGATCCCCTTTGTTGCCCGGTATTCTGGTGTAATTGTCGATACTGTCGAAGGTTAGAGCATCCGCCAACGCAGACTCCGCTTCGCGTGATTTCTGCAACATCTTCTGCGCCATCACTGGTGGTCTAGTGCTGTCCGTTGGCGACATGTGTAGATTCCTTCCTCTATCAATTCAAATAATTTGTATCACAACAAATACACAGCATTTTCGATAAACGGAATTGTACTTACCTAAGTTTGCTCCCAAATCTCTGCGGACTCGGCTCACGACTGTTGCTTGTGCTGCCAATAGTATGTCCGGATAATCGCCTTGGTCTACCGATTAGTGATTCACCTTCACGATTATACGTGGCGTAACTTAATCTAGACGACGGGGAACCCGATCTACTACTAGCTGTTGTGGAAAAACAATTTTTATTAATAATTCTCTGTTACGTATTTCTTTTCTTTCTCTTCTCAAAAAATTGCAAAACGTACGTTGAGATTGCGAAACTCCCGCCACTCTTGTCCTCGTCCTTGCCACTCTTTCTGGGCTAGCAACCGCATTAGGATCCGGGGATTTAGTAGGACGAGCTGAAATAATACAAAATGGTTTACAATTTATTGCATATATAATGACAAAGAGTTGTTTAATGTTCAATTTGATCATTTGACTTTATAAAATTTAGTAAGATATTACTCACGAAGTGCCGCTGCTTTTTGTCTGCTCATATTCGCGTACATCAATCTTGCTTTCGCTCTTTGAGCAGCTTGTAAATCAATTGCACTGGTAGATCTAACTCCTGGTGTACCTCGATCTGTAGAATTATAAAATGGATTAATTCTATGATATTAGCTCCATGTAATTTCTACTTTACAACTTCTGTGCAAGATTAAAAAAAAAAAGGAAATCAACGTAAGACAACAATTCCGTTGTGCATCTTTCTTTGGAGTGTGTGGCGTAACGTATACAAAGTGCGATTTATTTCTGAAGGAAATGACGATAGAACAATTACAATGACTGTCTGTTGGTCTTTGTAGTATCGGGATACCAGATTGACGATAAGACCGAGGCAAGGACGGAGTACGTCTGAGCGGACCATGCGGTTGACCCGTGGTCTGATGCAAATTTTCCGTACTACCTTCATATGTTTAATGTAAAGAGAAGTCGCAAAGCAGCATGAAAACAGAGTGACAAGTCTTTTATATTAAGATTGCAGCACGAATAACATTAATACATTCGATTGCAACGTAATCCGTTTTAATGGAATGTTTTATCGCGGTAATAAACAAGCAGAAAGTCTTTACCTGCCGCGCTCATCACGGGTCTGGCTGTACGTGGACTAACGCTCGACGATCTCATATTAGCCATGACATTTAAGCTGTTACTACTACCACTATTGCTAAGAGACATTAACGAGCGTTTATACGTCGCGTCCAAGTTATTAAGTAATATCTCAGCCTGCTCTGGAAAGTGATTTTTAAATGCCCAGTATGATCTATAAAAAGTGATAAAATTAATAAATTATTAAATTGATCTAAAATGAAGACAGATATCATTAGAATCCAGCTACAAAGGATTACTCACTTCCTGGCGAAGACTCGTGCTTCTGCATCGGAATCCGCAATGCCCTTTTTAAGTGCATCTGGCAATATTGTTATATGCTTCTGCAATATCTGCGTAGGCCAGGTCTGCAGGATTAAAGCCAGATATTCCCAAGACGCCCTACGAATATCTCTGCTCTTGTTGCTCACGCATGATATAATAATAGGCACATATCGAGTACAGTGGGTATTTTGAAGGATAAACCGAACTGCCACCGCTCCGGCTGTCGCTACGACCTAGTTGAAAATGGCAAGAGTAATTAAATTCTTACCTCTTATGGAAATTACATAAAAACTAACGGACACGCGAACGACGTAAGACTCTATGAGGTATGACGTTCGTCGTAAAGATGTGCAATTAGACTCGATACAGCAATTTAGACAATAATTGTATCTAAATGTAGCAGCGATCTAGCATTCCGTGAGACTTACCTTGGCACTGTTCTGTATGAGGTTCATTAACGTGAGCAAAACCGCCTCGCCAAAACTGGCGAATTTGGTCTTCAGACTCTGACTCAGAAAAGCGAGAGTTATACATGCTTCCCGCGCTACTTGGGATCTAAGGTCGGTGCAGGCCTGTTCGAACGGTCGCTGTACGCTCTTTAGGCACTCGTGGAAATTTTCGTAATTAGTGCCACCTGCGAGTACAATGGCTCTTAACTTTCTCATCTGAAAAAGCACGAAGACAACGGATAAAAAATATCGTCAAGCCACGAAGAAAGATGATCTCATTTTCTCGCGATACATACGCTATCCATCCTTTGTTTCCAATCCTTTTTATCGTCACCCACGGTATCCCTGATACTCTTCATCTGTTCTTCGAGATCCTTTGCTGAGAATAGATTAACGGTAGGTACGTCCTCGAATGAAGTAATAAAGCATTCTTCGTCAACGGCTCCGGCTTGCGCTGAATACAAGTAATGATAGTTTTCTTTATATTCGCTTCGATACGGAAATACATATGTGCGCTATAGAACTATATACTTTTCATTCTTTGCACGTTCAGAAATTGTGAATGATTATGAAACTAATTCTAAATTACATAGATTGCTATAAATTGCTGTGAATAATGCTTAAGCGGTCGCGAAATGCATTACAGATAAACAAAAATGATGACTGCAATATGTAATAAATAAGCACTGTATGTAGTTACATGTCAAAAATTATAAATGAGAAGCATATGGCTGATTAAAAAGCAGTAACACAGAGGGTATTTATTATTCTAAGGAATTGATGATTTATTGATAAAATTCTGCAACGCAGAATTTATTCACATCTAAGATTCTGAATTGCATCGCGCGATTATCTATGTAATCATTTTCTTTTGATCGAAAACATCTTCGGACTTTCCAAAGTATTTTCTAAAATAGTAATTGCCAATAGTAGAATTTTGATATACCTGATGTCGACCTTACTGATTGAGTTCTTTTGATGGTCACTGCCCTTGGGACTGTATAGGATGAAGTACCAGAAGGAGCTGTTTCATGCAAGCGAACAGTTAGCATATCCTCGTCATCGAAACGTCAACATACGTTGACCTTTTGTTGGCGAGTTTCTCTGACAATGTATTGTTAACAAAATGCAAAAGTAAAGCCGCATTGCGGTTAAAACTAAGCGTAAGTAAGGATTACGGCACATATTTCCCGCGTGCGCTTCATTTGCAGACCGGTGCTTCTGTGATATTCGAGTCAACACTGAGTCATGACATTCATATATATTTCGAGTGGAAGACGAAGAGACACATCTCAGGATAAAATACACGACACAATTGGTTATATAAAAAGCTTTTTGATTTATACGACATAAACTAGCATTGCTATCATCGTTTCGATATAATTTAAAAATATATCGACGTTTAATATTTACACTCTACCTAAATACGTCTAACAAGTTTTATAAATTAAAAATAACTCGTTCCACGAATATTAACATATATTTCTACTTGAAATATTTGCATAAACAGCTATTAATGGAAATGATTTTAGAGAAACTTGCTTTACTATTACTTTTGTCATATATCATGCTCCCCCCCCCCCAAAAAAGAAATAAAATTAAGAACATTAGATTGTGATATAAGTTGTAATAATAATTAACATCACATGTGAGATAAAATTTGATAATATTTGAATATACCTAAGGCAGAGGATGGTGTTCTAGCAGGCCCAAATTGACCCCTTTTCGGGGGCATATTAAGCCTTTTAACGGGAGCCGATTTGATCTGCAATAGACGAGTAATTTTTTTTCAAAACATCATTTCAATTTATAAACATGTAACGAAGCTGATTTTTCAGATTCGATACTTACCGCTGCTCGATCAAGTTCATCGGTGTCTTTGCCAACTGAAATAAAAAAAAACAAACAAACTATCACAATCGCGATTTGGTATATCTTTCTTATTAGTTCCGAAAATAAATTAGAAAATTTCGAAATTGCAGACTTTTTAAAAGAAGAAATAAAATATTTAGAAGCAAAATGATCTACAGAAAATTGTATTTTATAATATTATATTCTATAATTTAATTTGGATTTTAAATCAATATCAATGTCTTATTTTGTTACAAAATGTAACGTAGACTTTCAGCACATACTTGAAATAATTATTGACATCACCATTTTAAAAATATTTCTATCAATCAATATTACAACCACTTTATGTCGAGATGATCGTCCTTTCGTGTGGCAGAAATAATTGATATACCTAAATCTGGATACAGCCAAGGCGGCTTGTGGATGTCGCAGTGACATCCTCTCGCTCTCGCACCCGGATGCTTCACTATATTATCCCATTGCAATATCCATCTGCTACTCGCATCCCACAATTTCTTATCGATACTGGGATACTTCTTTAATCCCCGACGTAGGCAACGATGCCCGCTCGGTATTAACACGTCGGCGTCGTTCATCGTGATCGATGTATACGATATTTTAGCGAGTACAGCAAGGATAAATTCCTCCACATGTCGCTGTAGAATTATAGCGACATTGACATTTCGCCAGTGTCATCGTCATCTTAATAAACCAGTTGCGAACGTTTTTTTTCGCCTCTATCTTCGATCGCACTATAATAATCTTTTTTTTTCTCTTTCAGAAGACACTGTAAATATCAACCTTGGAATAATATCGTCGTGATTAAATTAATTTGAAAATAATTACACTATAAACATTATAAACATTCAAAACAATTTAATAATTTGCGACACTCATTAATTTTGCCTAACTACACGTTTTTTTAAAGATTTCGTAAACATTCTTCGACTTTTAATCAGAATAATGACAGACAAATAATCAATCGTAAAATGAAGTTCTTAGATGCTACGACGATATTTTTTCGAGGATGCGATAAAGAGCCAGTTTATTGCGCGCAATTAGCCGATTTATCTGAGCTGTTACGTAATCAGTAGCACAAATGCTCAAATTTATAACTCCTTCAAATTTAGAACTCATCAAGGAATTTCCGCTAATGAGTATCGGAAATCACGAAAGTGTAAAAGTCTCGATGTATTGTGGGAAAACCGGCATACGTGCAGTGAAAGTCTTCAGTTGTTTTCTTTTCCTGCCAGCCGCTTCGCATCGAAATTAATTAATTTCCATATCCTAATTGGATTCCTGCGAGCGTGCCTTATTAATTTGCCGCTTCACGCGAGCTACTCATTAGATCATCTAATCGAGCGTGTCGGATGCGCGGATTAATTGATACCGCGGATTTCGTTTCGCAGATTCATATAATATCCGTAATAAAAGACAATAACCCGATTTATAGCGGCTTTACATGCTATAAATTTCTAACAGCATTATTTATTTTTAACAGTTATAATTAGCGTCATTAATTTTAACTAGCTATAATTAAAATGTTTGCAAAATTGCCTTATCGATTAAATCAATTTGCATAGAATGCGAATTTACTTATTTTCTTTCCGCTTTCCCTAATATTACTATCTCGTAATTTTTCGAAGAATGCAACTCATCCAATTGATAAATCGCGTCGTGATAGCAAAAAAAAAAAAAACATCACTTAATGAACCATTCAGGGAAAAATGATTGGAATTATTGTGGCGCAAACTGGCAATTTGTGGTAAATGGTAAGCGGCACTTAGATTTATATTATATACTCTCTAGATTATCTCGTATTTCTTTGTCGGATTTCAAAATTGTCGGCGTAAGAGTTCCTAATGTTTACTCTTGCCTTTCTCGCAAGCGTCGTATTATCTACTTCCCGAGCATTCTTTGCGGTCATACGCACTGTTGCATTAAGAAATTCTGTAATATCCAGGTGCGTGCGTTTACTGTGGTAAAGACTCCTTCTTCCGTGAGGCAAATGTATGTATCAAGAATTTGCCGCGTTACTCGAGGAGTTTTGCTTGCATTTAAACCACTAATAAGCCTTCAAATTCCCATGTTACTACACTTAAAACCCAACAATGACAATTGTTCCGTCTTCTCGCAGTAATTAACATTGTAATCTAAGGCCCACAGCACATACAAAAACAAGAATAGAAACGGAGATTCTTGCATAAGGCATAAAAGAATTAACCAGTTTTTTATTTCATAAAAAGGAAGAAAATGAAGGACTTCTTGATTGAATCATTTTCTTATGTATTATGCAAGACTCTTCCGCCGCTTCTGCTAAGTTGCGTCTACAATGTGATTTTGAGGCGTAAAATTTAAATTTCGAACCTTAAACCGTAAAAAGTTAAACCGATTAATCATAGTCAATGATTCTTTTCACATTCGACTGTGAATGATCGATTTCTTACGGACTGAGGCTTAAAAGCTTAAGTTATATACGCCTTAAAATGTCACTGTAAGTGTCGCTTTAGGCAATAAGACGTAAACAATAAGTAAATTTGTCAATCCAAAATAGAGAACGTAAGATTTATTATCTTACATTCTCTACGTTGTTGTGGTTGACCAATTCGCTTATTTATTGCTTAGATTTTATTGCTTACTGTTTTTTCTGGATTAATTTTTCAAAATTTGTATCGACGAAATGTTTGTAATTACTTAGAAACTATCGATGTATCGTTAAGAAACACTGCAGGAAATCGAAGACGATAACAATTCAGGCCGTGTGAAAGATATGCCGGTTGACTTCTCCATGGAACCAGTTCAATGTTCTCCGACAACTTACGAACGCGAATTCACATACCTGGCATTACCAACAACGATCGATAGTCCAATAACAAAGCGAACTGTTATTACACACATTGCTAATAATAACACACACCGTCCCGGAATCGAGAATGCGATAGATATACCAATTCCTCAGCTGTCGACGATCGCGACCTATTTATTAATACCTTCAATACCAGCTTCGGCGTTCTCCGGTAACAATGAACGTGCATTCACACGCGCCACGTAACAAGATCGGTTAATAGGGAAAACCCATTTTCTCACGTTACAGATAGCATCGTCTCGCGAGCTTTTTGCTCTCGAGTTCCACCGTTCAAATGTCCCGAGTTGCCGGCTGACTGTTGTGTCGGGAAGTTTCGAAACCGACAGATATTTGCATGTTCTGACAATCTAGTTTCGAGTAAACTTAACGGGAAATGTACGGACGCGTATAGTCATACAATTGATGGTAGGGAATGAAATATCTATCTTACAATTATGTCCATTTTTATCAATGTAGTTTAATTTTAATCTTGATTCAATTAATTCTTCATCTTTTTCCTGTTCTAGAAATTAAAAAAAGATGAAGAGCTAGAAGAACCGAGATTAAAGTTAATCTACATTGATAGAAATGGATATTAGACGTGGACGTTAAAGCAAAGAAAAAGTTATATTAAAGACTAAAGATCATGACAAAAAAATTTAATAAAACGTAAGCAATAAGCGAATTGGTGAATCACAATAGTCACAATAATCACTTAAGTCTTTTATGACAAGTTATTAATTTTTTGTCTTATCCTATGTCTAAGACAAACTTGAGTACGCACGTCTCATTCTCGTTTGAAAGGATATGTTCGAAATTATTGAAAAACAAAAGGGAATATCCGTAATTATCGATTCATCGAGGGAACGAAAGTTGCAGAGTGAAATAAATTAAACTGAAACGACGCGATACGCATAAAGTCCATTTGCAAGTGAAACGCGTCTCCAACTTTACGTGGGGAAACAAATTGTATGTTTACGAATAACAAACGTTTAAACAAGATTTATCACGCTCAAAAAGATTTATGTAAAGCAGTTCTCACTGAAGCAGCAACGAGAAACTTTTTGTCGATGTTCAATGTTTCTTGAAAAAGTTGTCGAAAGTTTCATGACGTTTTTTAATATTTCTGCCAGAAATAAAAGTTGCTGTTTATCGTGTGTTTCCAATCGAAAGAAAATGTTCTTAGAATTTGGAAACATTCACCGACAATTCAGTAAGCAATAAAAAGTTTCTCGTTGCTCCTGTGAAAACAACTTTGGAGTGTTTTCCAGCAAAAGAAAAAAACGTGCACAGTGTACGATACAGTGAATCATTACATCCGTTTGTTAATGTTAAATAAAGATGAAATAATCACTATGTTACATTGTGTTTTTTGCTTATGATTACAAACTTTTTTACGTTGATCCTAAAGTCATCTATACTGATTATTTTTCAAATAAGTATTTTTCTAATTGCCTTTAAATACAGATTAAAAAATCCTTCTCTACAATTAAAGTATAAACGATAATGTAGTCAAAACCATTTATATATATAAACGTAAAAAAGTTGGAAAATTACAGTTTCATTATCGACTTCTACATCAACTCAAACAATATTTGTTTTATATACAAGTTTTATACTTTATACGTGTAAGACAATCTTGATTTGGACTAGAAATTATAATGATTATATAAACAGTGTTATGTTCTTAGAATTAAATATCTAATATAAAAGACTGATTAGTCGGAAAAATTGTACGTATAAATCGTGTGTGTAAGTCCTAAATCGTAGTACAGATGGCTTTAGCATCCCCATAAGAATCAATAAAAATTATTTTCGAAGATTCTAATCATATCAATCAGATTGTGATCGAAATAATAATCAGATGTTCAATCGTGACCACCAGAAATCTAACTATGATCTGAATTTTCCGGTTAGTTTATTTTTAATGAGAAATTTTTCTTAAAGTACCCTTGCTGGAAAGCACCGTTAGATTATAGGCAATTTTCAGCCTGACTGAATGTCCACTCGATTCATCTCGAGGACGTAGGACGTCCATTAGCATCTTTTTTTTCGGAACGGAAGAGAAGGAAAAAATATTTGGTGGTTTACTTCATCTGCTTCTCGAATCATTCATGCAAAGACAATCGTGTGGTTATAAAATAAAATAAAAAAAAAAAAATGAAAAAATTCTTCGTGCTCCCGGAA